GGGGGTGATGGGGGCACTTATACGGTTGTCTCAATAATTTTTGCTCCTGATTGTAGGTTTAAGCACGTTTGAAAACGTTACAGGCAGGTGCAGTAGCCCAAACAAATTAATGAAATTGTTACAAAAAATAAATAATCAGCTTATCTCGCATGAAGCAGCAATCTTGTTGCTTTTATTTCTGTAAAATAATTAATAGTATTAATAAGGTACCCTAAGGTAGGCTAAGGTAGGCCAAGGTACCTACTGTAGGCCAAGGTACCCTAAAGTAGGCCAAGGTACCATAAGGTGGCCAAGGTACCATAAGGTGCCCTAAGGTAGGCCAAGGTACCCGAAGGTAGGCCAAGGTAACCTAAGGTAAAGTAAGGTACTCTGAGGCACCCTAAGATAGGCTAAGGTACTCTAAGGTAGGCTAAGGTACCCTAACGTAGGCCAAGGTACCCTAAGGGAGGCAAAGGTAGGTTAAGGTACCCTAAGGTAGAGTAGGGTACTCTGAGGTACCCTAAGATAGGCTAAGGTACCCTAAGATAGGCTAAGGTACCCTAAGGTAGGCTAAGGTACCCTAAGGTAGGCCAAGGTAACCTAAGGTAGAGTAAAGTATTCTGACGCACCATAAGATAGGCTAAGGCACCCTAAGGTAGGCCAAGGTGCCCTAAGGTAGGTCAAGGTACACTAAGGTAGGTCAAGGTACCCTAAGGTAGGTCAAGGTACCCTAAGGTAGGCCAAGGTACCCTAAGGGAGGCCAAGGTACCCTAAGGGAGCCCAAGGTACCCTAATGTAGGCCAAGGTACCCTAAGGGAGGCCAAGGTACCCTAAGGTAGGCCAACGTACCCTAAGGTAGAGTAAAGTATTCTGAGGCACCCTAGGATAGGTTAAGGCACCCTAAGGTAGGCCAAGGTACCCTAAGGTAGGTCAAGGTACCCTAAGGTAGGCCAAGGTACCCTAAGGGAGGCCAAGGTACCCTAAGGTAGGCCAAGGTACCCTAAGGTAGGCCAAGGTACCCTAAGGGAGGCCAAGGTACCCTAAGGTACGTCAAGGTAACCTAAGGGAGGCCAAGGTACCCTAAGGTAGGCCAAGGTACCCTAAGGTAGGTTAAGGTACCCTAAGGGAGGCCAAGGTATCCTAAGGTAGGCCAAGGTACCCTAAGGTAGGCCAAGGTATCCTAAGGTAGTCCAAGGTACCCTAAGGTAGGCCAAGGTACCCTAAGGTAGGCCAAGGTGCCCTAAGGGAGGCCAAGGTACCCTAAGATAGGCCAAGGTACCCTAAGGTAGGCCGAGGTACCCTAAGGGAGGCCAAGGTACCCTAAGATAGGCCAAGGTACCCTAAGGTAGGCCGAGGTACCCTAAGGGAAGCCAAGGTACCCTAAGATAGGCCAAGGTACCCTAAGGTAGGCCGAGGTACCCTAAGGGAGGCCAAGGTACCCTAAGGTAGGCCAAGGTACCCTAAGGGAGGCCAAGGTACCCTAAGGTAGGCCAAGATACCCTAAGGTAGGTCAAGGTACCCTAAGGGAAGCCAAGGTACCCTAAGGGAGGCCAAGGTACCCTAAGGTAGGCCAAGGTACCCTAAGGTAGGCCAAGGTACCCTAAGGTAGGCCAAGGTACCCTAAGGTAGGTCAAGGTACCCTAAGGGAGGCCAAGGTACCCTAAGATAGGCCAAGGTACCCTAAGGGAGGCCAAGGTACCCTAAGATAGGCCAAGGTACCCTAAGGTAGGCCAAGGTACCCTAAGGTAGGCCAAGGTACCCTAAGGTAGGCCGAGGTACCCTAAGGTAGGCCAAGGTACCCTAAGGTAGGCCAAGGTACCCTAAGGTAGGCCAAGGTACCCTAAGGGAGGCCAAGGTACCCTAAGGTAGGCCAAGGTACCCTAAGGTAGGCCAAGGTACCCTAAGGGAGGCCTAGGTACCCTAAGGGAGGCCAAGGTACCCTAAAGTAGGCCAAGGTACCCTAAGGTAGGCCAAGGTACCGTAAGGTGGGCCAAGCTACCCTAAGGTAGTTTAATGTACCCTAGTACAGCCTAAGGTACCCTAATCTCATTGTATTCTGATATACTATAATGAGGGCTACATGAAGTCTATACCCGAATACTTCAAGTTGAAACAATGTTTGGAAAATATAGGCGAGGGGTCGTTGCATGCATGTATTTCTAGTAGAAATCTTAGAATACATAGGTATGCATTATAGTCACATCAGTTAGATCAAATGTAAAAGAGGAAGCGCAAAAACAGCACTTCTTGACGTCCATCTTTTTTCAGAGGACAACCCACAGAGATTGGCTTCCAATGGCGTTTCTCTAAATCAAGATTCCCCCGCTCCGGCCCCCAAGTCAATGTCACAGAATAAAGATCAGTAACAGAAGGGCCACTCAGCGGTGCAACGTGTCCGCATTTTTTTATGCAAAAATATGCAGTTTACTTGCCAGAAGGCGGAGCAGCCAGCTAGTACAGCGTATTTATTGGCTGGAAAATGTCATTGACTGGCTAGGAAAATGGCGGCCAACATGCGTAATGCGACATGCGCGAGGACTGAAACTTCAAAGCTTCCGACGTAAGTGGCCCTTCTATATGGATCTTTATTCTATGTCAATGTTGATTGTCAATGTTGGATTTTTGTAAAACTGGATTAAGTGTCCCGATGAGTTTTGGCCTGGATTGTAGCAAAAAGGCTGAAAAAAACACTGCAAAAATTATTTGTATTTGCAAACGGCCGTGATACATACATACATACATACATCAACTTTATTTAAACACGGAAAATCATCAGTATAGTTATTTACAAAAATATTAAAATATTTTAAAAAGGAGCAAAAAGAAATATAGATACTGATTGTGATAAGGCCGGTGACCTTGAAGGATGTTTGTTGCACTTTAGTTGGTTGAACTAGAATGCTGGTTTTGGTGGATAATCCAAGTGAGCATGTATATAATATGGATTTATTTTTTCTACAGTTCCTCCAACGTGTGGTCCGAATCATTTCCGCTGTAAGAACGGTGCGTGCGTGCACATGGCGTGGAGGTGTGATGGAGCATCTGAATGTCCAGACGGTTCTGACGAGGAGAATTGCCCTCCAATGGCTCGATGTAAGGAAAATGAATTTCAATGTGTAGTTACAATAAACAACTAACAGAGATCAATAATGTGATGGTGTGCCACAAGAAAGTTAGTGGACTCGATGCAGAAATAATAGACCTCATTATCTATGTTTTTGTCTTGGTTTATGCAAGAAATGGTCGGCTCATCGTCACGTAGAGCAACAATAGCTATGTTTTCTTTTAACAATTGGGTAATATTACGACTGGGTGTAATTAAACCAACACACTGCTGTTGGTTGGTTGGTCGAAAGAACAATACACACGTGACGATGAACAATACACACGTGACGATGGGATGCCTTTTTCACTCTTTAGTGCTTGAAATATTTGCTAAAATTGACTGGGAATACTTAGAGATTTCATCGTAGAATGGCGTAGTTATATTCATTAGCTCTTTGACTAAAATGTTTAACTGTATTATTGCTAAACATGCCGTTTTTAGAATTTGGTTTGCAACTAGGTTTCAACATCCAATCACGCCATCAACCCATTGAAAACATTAGATCACGTCAGCTAGTTTCCTATCCATTTATTTTATTATCCATGATTTGACGAAACCTTGTTCGGGAACCTTCGCACTTGGGGCCTACGCCCCCTCGAGCTTATATCCCGTGTTTTCGGTTAAAACCTATACGTATATATATTGAAAAACCCGTAAAGGCTTACCATTGATTGATCAGATTTGTACTTCAGGGCCGTAGCACACTTTTTTACAGTACACACTTTTTTAGAATTAACATATTCGGAAAATCGGGTTGGCCATTTGGAAAATTACGGCAATAATAGTATAACACAATTTTAGTTGTTTAAACAGAGAAATATTATAAAATTGTATTGTCAGTATAAACTCATTTACGAAATCACGGCATTTACATGGATAACATTTAACAAATCGTTAATCGGTAAATTATTTAGGTTTTTTGGTTTATTACTTCTCAGGACCGTAGCAACTGGGGGTGGGGCTGCAGGGGGCTGCAGCCCTCACAATAATTTGCTAATAACCATTCTGTTTTCAAAATCATGCACACATTTATCATTTAAATAATATGCCTTTAAAATACTGACAATTGATTAATTTTAAGCGGCTATATCCATGACAAACCAAAAAAAATCATATTACCCATACTCTTTCCTGCAACTTCTCCAGTTCATTAAATACGCCTTTGCCCATTTAGTTCTACTAAATTGTAAGCAAATTGTAAATTTCGACATACTAAAACGCTGTTTTCTGACCATCATAATTCTGTCAAAACTTCCCCCAAAGTCCAGGAAATGCCATTTCAGAGACTCCAAATTTAAAAATTTCCTCGAGCTTTCGTAAATTGCGTCTTGTTTGTAAATTGCGTCTTCATTTTCCGGATAGCAAACATCTTCGTTGCTTCGTACGTCATGAAATACTCGGAAATTTTGTCGTCATTTGGAAATTTTTGGCCTACCACCCCCTATAGATGCTAGCTACGGCCCTGTGTGCTCTATGGAGATCGTTGGATCCAGCTTGCAAAAAAATCATAGATGTTCCAAAGAAGATCATAGATGTTCATCGTAGTTGCACTGCATGATCTATTTAATAATTATATCATGAGCTCGAGTCTGCATGCTATCAGCCATATACGAAGAGAGCTATGACTATGACGAGAACTATATTGTAACGTAAATTATCAAACGAATGTATCTTTTATTTTCAGATAAAATTATGAAATGTAAGAAAGGCAGTTTTGTGTGTTCAGATGACAAATCATGTATTCCCGCTATTTGGAAGTGTGACGGTGTGAAAGATTGTTCTGGTGGTAGTGATGAAGATCCTCACATATGTGGAAATGGTTAGGTGTTCAGAAATTTAGTCATCTATTCAGACATTAAATTTGGCTGGTAAACGTATATACATGCTTACTGAAGTAGTTATTAGCCACATGATTATTCTACTTTCTTACTAATTTGCATATCATGCATCGATGCATAATCCATTGAAATATGGCTTCTGCAGTAAACAGTAAATTATATTACGCGATTCTGTAAATTTCAAAATTGGAGAATACTTTAGGTCGCTTGCGATGCAATTTGCTTCAATTGCTGGCTGCAGAACAAAGTCTGTAGAAATATTCAGTGTAAGTTTGCCCATGCATGGTTTAAGCTACTGCCTATTCTGCATTTTCATTTGTTCCCAGTGGCAGTATATTGCGGTATTTTTATATAGAGATAAATGACAAATGCCCTAAAAACTAACCTCTGTATGTACAAATATTGAAAATGCAGAATAGGCAGTAACTGCAATCAGGCCAACATTACACTAAATACTTCAACAGACTTTGTTTTGCAGCCAGCGATTGAGGCAAGTGGCAAACGACCTATACTTTGTTCTCAGATTTTGCGATTATAACTTACTGAACAGCGTCGCGTTACATAATTCACTGTTTACTGTTGAAGCCATATTTTAACGCGATATGCAAATTACGTAGTCATAGAGTTCTATATAGACGTAGTTGATAGTTCATATAGTTTTAGCAGTATAATACCCTTACATATATATACATTTTTTAAATTCTTATTATTGTAAGTATAGAAATATAGTTTTATGTACTATTTAGAACATGAGCGGCAGTGTTTTATCTACTAAAGATACGAGGCGAAGTCGAGTATCTTTAGGTCTGATGAAACACGCACTGCGAAAGTTTTAAATTGCTTCAAAAACGATCGATCTAGTAAGTTCATTGGCGAAGTAATTTTCAAAAAATACGTTGTGTAAGTCTAGAAAGTCAAAGTTAAAGTTTATGTAAATCAAGGGAAATCTCTATATCACATAATAAAGATACGACAAGCTTATGATTTTTCTTTGTGTTTTCCTCGTGAATTATTAATGAGTTTTCGAAATTATTACACTGGCCTGTAAGGCAAGTGTCTTAAATCCCTCTTTTTCTGTTTTTTTCATAGTCGAGAAATCGAGTTTGCGTTAGGTCATCGCAGGCTCAGGGTGCAACGTGCTACAGTGACATATTCAGTTCAGTTTCAAAACGGCGGCTTTTCACTGAGCGATCTAATACATATTTCATACAGTTTTGTTGAATTTTCAAAGAATTGTGCCGGTTTCCTATGGATTTTACATTGTGTCGCACTCTGGCCTTTCTTGCGTGTTGAATTACTGTGTTTTTCTTTGTGTAACGACTCGAAAACCCCAAAATTTGCACCCAGCGAATTTATACAATATAGTGGAATATAAACAACGACAAGTTAAAGGTTTGACAGTTTGACTTTTTAATTAACAAGTGTAAATAGACGTTGTAGGCTCATAAACATGCGTTGTGCTCTTGTATTCATTTGCATAATTATAGATTTGCACCTAATTACATTAATTTGCACCAAATTACTTTCCAATTCATCATATATTACTAAAAATGTATGTTTTCGATTGTCAGCGAGGTGGCGTTGCGTGCGGCGAAGTGAAACGTGGTACTGTTCGATTTGTTTTTGGAACAAGACCCAAC